TAGAGCGTATGTAAGTATAAAATGAACTTTGAAATCAACAGAGAGGTGACAGTCTGTTTTATGCTCGAATCCAATCATCAGGCAATATATATATATATATATATATATATATATATATATATATATATAGGTATGCAGAAAAAAGAAAAAAGAACATGTTGTGTGCATAATCCGAATTCCTTAGTATTTTGTTTTTATTTTAAGAAGACAGTGCTCCATACAGAAGTAGAGCTTTATTATAATAATATTTTTTGTTTAAAAATATGATTCCTTCGCTACATAAGAGTTCTCATGTTTCAAAAACGAGAGCCGAAACCATCCAAATAATTATTAAAATTAAGTTGAATTGAGGTGTTTAGTCCCGTTTCATCTTCAAGCGAAATTTTAGGAATCCTAAATCCTAGAATTCCTAAATTTATTATTATTTATTAGTTATTTAAATCGTTCTATGTGCTGTTCAAAATGATCGTCTTCTTTTTTAATAAAAAATTCAATGATGTGCCTGAGTTTCGTCTGTCATTTTACTGCATTCATATTTCATTCTTTCTTTAAGATCCTCAATATTTTTGGGGCGCGTCTGATAAACAACTGATTTTAAATGGTTCCACAGAAAAAAAAAAAAACTCCAATGGTGTTGGGGTCTGGTGTTTACGATGGTCACTCAACAGGAAGTTTTCGACCTAACCATTAACACCCATGGTGCAGGACTTTTACCTCAACCTGTATATCCATATATATATATATATATATATATATATATATATATATATATATATATATATATATATATATATGCTATTTAATAGATTGAAGAAATGCAAATTGATGGAAATAAATAATTCATTGGGGGTTTCCTAAGTTTTGGATGGCGAACCTTATGATGCACACGGTGAGGAATGAATTCACTTCAGTGTAGCAACGCTTGCTAAACTAGGCCTGTAAATATATGTAATTTCTGGACGGATAAAAACAGCTTTCTATAACAAACAACAAACTCTAAAAGGCTATTTTATTTTCACATGTTACCTATTCCTCCTTTGAAAACAGTTTTTGATCAAATCGATAATGAGATACGTACTTTTTGGAAGAGAGAAAATAAAACTAATTAATAGAACCCACCTGGTAGGAAAGCTTCTGCATCAGTCTTGAGGTGGTCTGGGTAAAATGACACACCTTACTGCAATCACGCACTTGTAAAATCCACAAATACTCCAAGGTATCCGCCCAAGAACGAAAATGACTTTTTTTTTGTGAGGACTAGACGTATAGTTGTAAAAAATAAAAAAGATCCTAACAGATCGAATTGCGTAAGGCCTAAACGATGGTAAGAGTAATCAATCCACACGTCCGTTTCGTTACACAATTTCCATGTTTTTATTTGTTTATCTTGATCTTTTGATCGAGTGTCGTTTTGTCATTCAACAAAACTAACAGACCACGAGAAACACCGGCGTGAAAGCACACTTCCCCACACTTCTCCTGATAACCTAAAACGCTAATCCTTCTCCACACCCACCGCATATAACAGAACATGTGACATGTTAAGCCTGTCAACTGGTCCTGCCGGGGATTGTCTTATTTTTAAGTTATAATTCAACAATACAATACATATTGTAGCTGAGTATGGTGCGTGCTACTGACCAGCGCTAGCGGTCAGGGTTCCAGCCTTGTTCAAATAACAGGATTTGGAATTCTGGTTTTCAAGAAGGTCTACCAAGATTGGTCGTCAATTTAATAACGTATATCAATCACGTCTATTAGAATCTTCAGCGGGTGGATATATAATTTAGATACATAGATATAAAGTGTGGGTATATAAAAATGAACACTGCGTGGTGACTGACAGTTTCCCGCCTAAAGCGTTCACGGTGGGGTGCGAAAAAGGACAACGCCCAGTAGCAACATTAAATATTTGTTACACCCAGTGTTTTTCGTTATACATTTAAATGTGTATTTATTTAACACTTATTAAGCCAGGAGCATATTAACTTAGAAAACATCAATATTACAATGTTTTGGCTATGGTTAATACGGTGCAGCTGTTTGCCCTATGAATGAGGCACTTTCATGTTTCCATACATTTTAAGAGGTTAACGTTCGATCAAGCCGCCCCCTCTTGAAAAAAAAAAAAAACTGTTGTTAACCAAAGCAAAAGAGTGCAACTTACTTCGTTATTAACCGCTAATATTTTTTGAATCATTTCACCCCAAGCAAGGCAATAAAGCCACAAAGGTTAGAGCGTTAGAAATTACGGGGAAAAGTACTATTAAGGAGCGAGAACAACAAAAGAACAAGAATTAAGAAGATAACGACTGACATTTCATTAAAGATCAAAGTTGACTGGGAAACAAGAAGCCGGAAGAGATTTCCACATGCAAGAAGTGTAAGAGAAGAAACTGTTAGCATAGAACTTACGGTTACATCTCGCCAATTCAACAGAAAAATAATGAGACCTTACCGCCAATCTAGTACTGCGCTTAAATTCATAAAGTCTAGCTAC